GAGTGGGAAGCCAAGAAAGATGCAGGCACGGGTGCGCGCAGACAACTTGTTCGCGCCAGGGGCGCGAACGTGAGCCAGGGAACCCCAGACGCGGTAGTGAGCTGCTACGCCCGGAAAACCTGTCCAAAGGAAGATCGGCGGCACCCGTGGCCGTGCGTCACTAGGCCACAGGTTCAGCTGGTGCGCGGCGTAGCGGACTGCCTGAGGCCACAAGAACTGGGGGGCACCGGCATGGCACATGGAGGTCCGGGCAACCTCCATGACCAGGCCGATGCGTCGCTCGGCTACCCCATTCTGCTGCGGCGAGTCTGGTAGCGTGTAGGACTGGATGATCCCCCGACCCTTACAGAACGTCTCCAAACGAGTGGAAGAAAACTCACCACCTGGGTCCGAGTGTAGGCGGAGCCCACACACGCCCTGGGCGCCACCCCCCGCTAGTAGCCACGGCTCGAGGACGGTAGGCACGTCGGCCTTCCGTCGCAAGGGGAAAACCGTGGTGTAGCGGGAGTAGTCGTCCACCACAATCAGGAAGTAGCGCTCCTGACGCGGGCCAAGGACCAGGGAGGGGGCCCAGACGTCCAAGTGCAGGGTCTGGAAGGGAGCCGTGGTGGGGGGGAACGAGGAGGAGTGAGGGGCAGCGCGCTGCCGATCCTCTACACAGGGAGTGCACGGCGGCGCAGGCGAGCGAGGAAGCGGGGCAAGCGACTCTGGGAGACCTGAGACCAGACGGTGACGTACCATCCTACTGAGACGTGGGAACGACTGGTGACCGAGACGGTGGTGCCTGAGGACCGACGGGTGGGTGAGTGACCGACAGTCGCACGACACAGCAGCTACCTGACCTGACCTGACCTGACCCAGTGTTGTGGGACCGTGTAGTGAGTACAGATTAGAGCCCGACTCCCTGTGGAAAGTGGCCAGAGGCGCCCCAGTGGCACCGACTATGCAGGAGGCAACAGGCTTGTGCAGTGGGAAAGTAGTGACAACTCCGAGGTCGTGGAGGTGAGTGACACCCACCATGTTCCTAGAGAACGAGGGGGTGTAGTAACCTGTGAGAAACCCAGAAGGAGCCGTTGGACACGGGAGAGTGGTGTTGCTGTCGGCAACTATAGATCCTACGGAGGGGTCAGCCAAGGCGACAGTGACTGGGGTGTGTAGTGGCGTGAGATCGGTGCAGTCGCGAAAGAAACAGCTGGACGCTCCAGAGTCTAGGGTGAAGGAAAGCCGTGCAGTCGGTGGGGTCGCACCCGAGCCAGCGACAAAGGCTGGTACTATTCTAGTGGTAGCTGCAACTCCCACACTAAGAACCTCTGAGGCGCCTGGACCGGAAACTACACACGCACCAAGACTGGAAACACAAGGCTCAATAGCAGTTGCAGCTCCCATGTACTGGTGTGTGTACTGGCCGGGTCCGTCAGGGCCCCGCTGTGGAGGTTGCTGCAGGAGCTGCAGCTGAACCCGCCACTGCTGCAGCTGCGGCCACCTGTGCTGCTGTCGCTGCCACTGCTGCTGCTGAGACCACTGCTGTTGCTGCGGCTGTCGCCACAACGACATGGCAAGCTAGTACGGAGGGGGGGGGGGGGGGGGGGGGGGGGGGGGTACGCTGGCGGTAGCCTAAGTTGCTGCTGGTGCGTTGGGGTAGCCTATGCAGTTGTTGGTGATACTGGTGGCAGTCTAGGCTGCTGAGAGTGCGCTGGCGGCAGTGGCGGTTGCTGCTGGTGCTACTGGTGGCAGCCTAAGCTACTGCTGGTGCGCTGGGGGCAGCCTATACTGCTGATGGTGCAACTGATGGCAGTCTAGTGCGGTGGTGAACGGTTAGGTGGGGTTGGGAACGGTGTTGGACGGTCAGGTGGGGCTAGGAGTGGCCTGGTGCGGTGGAATGCGGCTGAGTGCGGTTCTGGTGCTTGTGCGGTCGGATGCGGTTGGGAGCAATGGAGGGCAGTTCAGTGCGGTTGGGAGCGGTGAAGAACGGTCTAGGGCGGTGGGGGAAAAACGGGTGGGCTGTCAACGGGCGTAACGAGGGCACGGGCGGTTGCTGTTGATGCTAGCAGTTGCAGGTGCTAGCTGCAGGTGGCGCTAGCTAGCTGCAGGTGGCGCTAGCTAGCTGCAGGTGGCGCTACTTGCTGCTACTGCTGGCGCTAGCTGCAGGTGGCGCTAGCTAGCTGCAGGTGGCGCTACTTGCTGCTACTGCTGGCGCTAGCTGCAGGTGGCGCTAGCTGGAGGTGCACTGCTGGAGGGCGCTCGCAAGCGAGGCGCGTATGAGCAGACGGGTGCGTACGGGTGGGTGGGTGCGTACGGGCGGGTGCGTACGGGCGGATGTGTCGTCCTAGCAGGTGCGTTCGGGCGGATGCGAACGGGCGGGCGTCTACCAACGGGGTCGTCTAAGGGAGGCCGCGGGGCCTTCTAAGGGAGGCCACGGGGCCTTCTAAGGAGGGTCGCGGGGCCTAAGGGAGGCCGCGGGTCTTCTAAGGAGAGTCGCGGGGCCTAAGGGAGGCCGCGGGGCCTTCTAAGGGAGGCCGCGGTGCCATCTAAGGAGAGCCGTGGGGCCTTCTAAGGGAGGCCGCGGGGCCTTCTAAGGAGGGCCTCGGGGCCGTCTAGGGGACGACGGGAGGAACGAGGCACAGGGCGACGAGACGCGAGCGCCTAAGGGAGAAAATCCGAGGCGTGCGGGTGGTGGGCCCATGACTATCGAGAGAAAAAAAATCGCTAGAGGAAACCGTCGCTCTATACCATGTTAGAATATGAAACGTAATGAATGACTAGCAAATGAACAAACAAGCAAGATATAAGTCAGCCCTAACCCTAAACCTAGGACAAAGTAAATGCACCTAGACTAGAACAATACAAACTATATCATTATAGTTTGACACGGGAAGAAGGAGAAGGCGCTGGGTCTAGGAGAGGAAGTGTATTTGAAGCAGGCGAAGCAAGACATGATGGACATCGGCCTAAGCAAAGAGAGGTGGAGGGTGAAGGAAGTGATGCGGAGATAACTACTACAATGGGAGGTAGACTACGGGCTAGGCACGGGTGCTCATGTGATCTCTGCGTTTGTTGTTCCTTAGTCGTTTTCCTAGTGCACACACTGCTTGCTAGACCACGGGGTAATTTGGCAAGAGTTTCACTAGAGAAAGTTGACAACAATGGTACAATGAAGATGGCATGGCTAGACTACATCAGAGCTAGCATTCAGGTCGGTCGACTGCCAGCACAGCATGGTCGACCGCGTTCCAGCACGACTTGGTCGACCGCGCTCCAGCAGTGCAAAGTCGACGGCGTGCCAACGTTGCAGGTTGACGGCGTGCCAGCGTTGCTCCCGCAGAACAGCATCGCACCAGCTTCGCAGATGCTCGCAGATGTTTGGCGTGCGGAGCCTTGTCACCTGCACAGCGCACACACCAAGTCAACCTGGCGCTGACGACTGCATCTGATCAGCCACGTCGACCTCAGGATACCACCACCGAGGTCGAACTCGCCAACTTCGCCTGGGCGACCGTCGCACTCCTCCGCAGAACCTTGTCACCCAGGTAACCTGGTCGACCGGGCAACCACGTCGACCAGGTGCTCCTGTATGTGCCCGTCGACCTCCCAAGTCGACGGCCACCTCCAGTCGACCTCACCAGGTCGACCACACCCCTGGTCGACCAGCTCCAGGTCGACGTCACTCCTGGTCGACCAGCTCCACGTCGACCAGCACAGTCGTCAGCCGACCACCCAAGTCGGCTACCCGAAGTCGGCGTCACCAAGTCGACGCCCCTTCTACGTCGGCGCCGACTTCCGGGCCGACCTCTTGAAGTCGGCAACCTTGCAAGTCGGCGACCTTGCAAGTCGGCGCACTTGCAAGTCGGCGACCTTGCAAGTCAGCGACCTCCCAAGTCGGTGACCTTGCAAGTCGGTGACCTTGCAAGTCGGTGACCTTGAAGTCGGTGACCTTGCAAGTTGGCGACCTTGCAAGTCGGCGCCGACTTCCAGGTCGACGTGCCACATCGCCGACCACCAGTTGAAGTCGGCCGCCGGCTTCCCAAGTCGGCGGCATTGCAGTGGCCCCGTGCAAGTCGACCAACCCCGTCGACCAGCTCGCCCAAGTCGGCGTCGCCCACTGCTGCAAGTCGGCTGTACCTCCCGTACACCCAACCACGAAGTCGGCTCCGCCCAAGCGAGGACGGGGCCAACAATAACTCCCGTTGACAAGTGAAAGAGTCAAGGGTAGTGGTCCTGATGAGCGTCAAAGGACAGGTGAGCGAGAACCACCGTACCAACCTGGCCAGAGCAAGACCAAGGAAGGAAAGAGGAGAGGAAAGAAAAGCAGATGAAAGCCGAGGAGAAAGGCAGCCACCTGAGGGAGAAGTCCATCGGCAACAGGAGAAGGGATCAATGGGGCCGAGGAGGGGGCAAGTGTATGGGGCTGCTGAGAACAAGGGGAGGCTAAACAGGGAGCTGAGGGCCCTAAGGGAGAGAGGATAGAGAATGGGCAGGCCAGGAGGACAGCAACAAGCTCAGCACTCAAGACTGGCAGGAGAAGAAGAGAATCCGAACAGTTTGCAGATGAGTGTTCTCTCGGTGCGAGCAGTGTGGCGGTGGGGTGAGGGGGGGAGGGTGAGATGGTGCAGCAACAGCTGCTTCTAAGAAGGTGACTTTTGAGTCGACTCAAAAGTCACCTGGCAGTGGGGTGAGCGGGGAAGGGGTGAGATTATGCACCAACAACTGCTTCTGAGGCACCTCAATTACACTTAACCATGTGCTCGCTGTGAGGGGTGTGGTGTCCTGTTCATGGGCACCCACACTTGCACTAGCGTCGGCCCAGCATGATGACTTGCGGGAGGAGGAGACATCGTTCCATCTATGCATCCGTGCGATGTGAGCCCTGCATCCATGCGATGTGAGCCCTGCATTCCGCTGAATGTATAGATGGAACGATGGATAGACGAACGCACTAGTTCCTGAGGTGCCTAAGTACTCGACTCTTACAATACGTATGCACGCGGATTTCATGTGTGCAGGCCATGTGCAACGACAGCGAGGGGGAGGAGGGAGAGAGTGACGCACTTGTGGCCGTCACACAACTGCCAACCTTCCAGGTAAGGCTGGCATGCCACACCATGGCTGTCAGCAACCCATCCCATTCACCAGGATTGCAATGACATTGAGGGGGAGGAGGGAGAGAGCGACGCGCTTGTGGCCGTCACACAACCACTGACCTTCTAGGTAAAGATTCCCTCCCACCGACACGCTTGTGGCCGTCACACACCAGCCAACCTTCCAGGTAAGGTTGGCATGCCGCACCTCGCAAGCCATCCGTTCACCTGGCAAGCCAGCCATCAACGTCGCACGCCATCCGTCCACCTTGCAAGCCGCAATCGGCCCTTACCCTTTTTGCTATGCTGCTCCTTTGTGTCTCATTCTCCTTTATGTTCCCCTGTTTCCATGCTTATTGTCGTCCTCACATGTGGCTCTAGAGTGAGGCTGAACATAAGCATGGAAACAGGGGCATGAGATTGATTTCACATCTTTTAGAGAGTGTTTTCACAATCCAAATTAAAAAAACAGCAGACAAAGCATTTCTCCAAATACTTCTGCTGACCTTGTTGTCTCTTTTCTCTCCTGTTTCTTTGTGGAGACATCTCAACACAAACTTATGCTGACCTTTGAGTCGACTCAAAAGTCAAATTGAGACATCTTAGCACAAACTTATGATCTCCTGAACTCCCTTGTCTCGCCTCTCTCTCTCCGGTTTCTATTTTGCCACTGCAGAGTGTCAGAAGTACGAGTAGAAAGTTTAGAACAAGAAAGAGAGGTTGGACTAGCAGCAGTTGGCATACATATAGGAAACCCTAATTGGGTTGTACTCGCTATAGAGTACCCCACTGCAGGCTAGACAATAATAACATTCTGACACACCCCCATAGCCAAAGTGGGGTGTAATCAGCACAATGAGCAAGCATAGCAGTAGTTCACAATTATAAGCGAAGCTAGTGGTAGTCACAGCGGGCAAGTGAGGAGGAGGAGGGACTGTGAGAACAGAGAAGATGGGAGACGACGGCTGAAGCTGCAGACACACGGGCAACAGGAGCTGCTGGCACAGTGGCTACCAGGACAGCGCCCCGGACTACTGGAGTAACTGGCTCGGCGGCTACGAGGAGCGGCAGGAGCAACGGACCCACGGGCGACAGGCGCAGCAGGCTCTCTGGGCTACCAGGACAGAGCCCCGGACTACAGGTGCTGCGGACGACAAGACGGCAGCCTCCTCTCAGCCTCCCCAAACAGTCTCACCCCCTTGACACACACCCCCTGCTTCACCCCTAACTCCACTTCCACGTCACCCCCCTAGCTCCACTCCCCGCGGCTCCCACACATCCACCCCCCTCAGCGGCAGCTGCAGTAGTGGGAGACGGAGGAGGAGGAGGAGCAGGGGACCGCGCACACCCGCCACCCCCATACCTGTCACCCCCATACCCTGAGTGTGCGGTAAGCGAGCTCAGGTGTGCGCGAAGCGTGCACAAGCGTGCGGGAAGCGAACTCGGGTGTGCGGTAAGCAAACTCAGGTGTGCGGGGAGGAGGGGCCGCAGGGCGACGCGCGGGTCGACGGGGTCGCCGCGAAGGGCGACGGGGAGCCGCGCGCGGGTCGACGGGGCCGCCGCGAAGGGCGACGAGGAGCCGCGCGCGGGTCGACGGGGCCACCGCGAAGGGCGACGGGGAGCCGCGCGCAGGTCGACGGGGACGGGCGCGCGGGTCGACGGAACGCGAAACCGCCGCGTGCGCCCAGGGTGCGCGGCGGGCAGGAAACCGCCGCGCGCCTCGGGGTGCACGGTGGGCAGAAAACCGCCGTGCGCCCCGAGCGCACGGCGGGCAGAAAACCGCCGCGCGCCCTGAGCGCACGGCGGGATGAAAAAACGCCGCTCGCTCCGGGCGCGCGGCAGGAACAAAGGGTCACGCGCCCGAGGCGCGAGACAGCAGTAGAGCAGCGGAAGCAGTTAGGTGGTGGGCCCACCCACAGGATCGACCCAAGGGGGTCGACCTGCTCTGAAACCATGTCAGAAGTACGAGTAGAAAGTTTAGAACAAGAAAGAGAGGTTGGACTAGCAGCAGTTGGCATACATATAGGAAACCCTAATTGGGTTGTACTCGCTATAGAGTACCCCACTGCAGGCTAGACAATAATAACATTCTGACACAGAGAGGCGTGCTGGAAGAGACAAGGGATGCCGCCCAAGTGCTGTATGCGGTGCTGTCCGTGCAGCGCAGTGAGGATATCTCGTCAGCTCTGATAGGGAAACAGCTGTCGGAAGACAATTGGTGGACGGCTGTCAGCCGCGTGGTGCAGGGTGAGTGTGTGGGTGTGTGGGGGGAGAGGGGAGAGAGTGTTTTGAGGTGAGTGTGGTGTGTGTGTTGGGTTGGGTGGGGGTGGGGGTGTTTTGGGTTGGGTGAGTGTGTGTGTGTGTGTGTGTGTGTGTATGTGTGTGTGTGTATGTGTGTATGTGTGTGTGTGTGTGTGTGTGTATGTGTATGTGTGTGTGTGTGTGTGTGTGTGTGTGTGTGTGTGTGTGTGTGTGTGTGTGTGTGTGTTGGGTTGGGTGGGGGTGTTGTTAGAATCTCAAGATCTCAAGATCACAACTCATTCTGAGCACAAACAAGCGGCCACAAGGCCAGTTCACATGCAGAGGTATAATAGCAAGGCAGTACACTGATCACAACCTAGCAAGAGGAAACATGCAGGTATAAATATAGATATCAGGGTACAACAAGTACAAGGTCAAGAGACAAGCAGGTGAGGCAGAACGGGCAGAAGCCCAAGAGCAGTGCAAAAGCGCTGATGATCACCAGACCCAAGGGCCTTGGTGAAGACATCAGCAGTGTTGGCCCGAGAGGCCACGTAGGAAAGGCGAAGCTGACCACGCTGCTGCAGCTCTCGAGCAAGGAAGTAGCGAAGAGCAATGTGCTTCGTTCTGTGCTCCAGTCTCTGCTCGTGATACAAGGCAAGCATGGCCTTGTTGTCAACGTAAAGAACTGGAGGAGAACGAGGCCGCTCCCCCAAGTCGGTCAGCAGGTAGGTCAGCCAGCGTAGCTCCTGTGCAGCCATAGCCCCAGCGTAGATCACAGCCTCACAGCTGGAACCAAGCACAGAAGAAGAACGAATGGACTTCCACGAGACAGAACCAGAGCCAAGACTGAAGGTGTACCCCTGTGACGAACGCTGAGTCGCCTGGTCATCGGCCCAAGAAGCGTCGGAGTGTCCTGTGAGAGCCACTGAACCCTGTCCTCCAAGCACGAGCCCCATGCCCGATGTACTGCACAATTAACGCACCTTTCGATGTCTATCGGGAGCCACGTAGCAAGCCAGGCTGAGAGGGTACGCGAGGTCAGGTCGTGTGCACGTCATCAGGTACATGAGGCAACCCACAAGCTCTGGATACGGACCACTCGGCTCTACGGACTCGTCCGAAGGTGGAGCTGAGAGCGAGTGGCCAGTAGGCAGAGGAGTGCGCTGTGGCGAGGACCACGTGAAGCCGAAGCGCTGAAGAACCTGGTGCACCATGTGAGACTGCGTCAGGGTGATGGTGCGGCGTGCTCTGTCCCGGGTGATCTGCAAGCCAAGATAGCTCCGCAGCTCACCCAGGTCAGTGCAGGTGTGTCTCTCATGCAGCTCCGCCTTCACTAGGGCCAGTCCCTCAGTGTCAGCAGTAGCAAAAACCAAGTCGTCCATGTCAACGGGAGTTGTGTGGTGGCCCCGTCCTCGCTTGGGCGGAGCTGATTTCGTGGTCGGGTGCGAGGGGAGCAGCCGACTTGCAGCAGTGGGCGAGCTGGTTGACGAGGAGGTTGACCTGCACGAGGGCCACTGCACGGGCGCCGACTTCAGGTTGGCGCCGACTTCAGGGAGGTCGACCTGGGAAGTCGACCTGCGGAGGGCATCGACTTATGACGCCGACTTCGGGTAGCCGACTTGGGTGGTCGGCTGATAACGGTGCTGGTCGACATGGAGCTGGTCGACCAGGAGTGACGTCGACCTGGAGCTGGTCGACTAGGGGTGTGGTCGACCTGGTGAGGTCGACTAGAGGTGGCCGTCGACTTGGGAGGTCGACGGGCACATAAAGGAGCAGCTGGTCGACGTGGTTGCCCGGTCGACAAGGTTACCTGGGTGACGAGGTTCTGCGGAGGGGTGCGACGGTCGCCCAGGCGAAGTTGGCGAGTCCGACCTCAGTGGTGGTATCCCGAGGTCGACGTGGCTGATCAGATGCAGTCGTCAGCGCCAGGTTGACTTGGTGTGGTGTGTGCGCTGTGCAGGTGACAAGGCTCAGCACGCCAATCATCTGCGAGCACCTGCAACGCTGGTGTGCTGCTGTTCTACGGGAGCAACGCTGGCACGCCGTCGACCTGCAGCGTTGGCACGCCGTCGACTTTGCACTGCTGGAGCGCGGTCGACCAAGTCGTGCTGGAACGCGGTCGACCATGCTGTGCTGGCAGTCGACCGACCTGAATGCTAGCTCTGATGTAGTCTTGTCTTGCCAACCTGATTGAACTATTGTTGTCAACTTTTTCTAGTGAAACTCTTGCCAAATTGCCCCGTGATCTAGCAAGTGGTGTGTGCACTAGGAAAACGACTAAGGACCAACGAACGCAGAGATCACACGAGCACCCGTGCCTAGCCCGTAGTCTACCTCCCATTGTAGTAGTTATCTCCGCATGGTGCGGTGAGCATGGACGGCACACGACTTACCTTTCAGTCAGGTCGATGTAGACATCACTTACCTAATTCGTTGTCGTAGGCCGGCAGCTGTGCGGTAGTCACTATGGTAGGAGCCGTAGGTGACGCAGGGGTGGTGGACACCCTGGAGGCACGGCTGGATAACGCGAGGAGAAAGCACGAGGCCAACAAGTATGGCGACCTGCCTTGGGCAGTCGTCGAGGCTGGACTCCGCACCATGTGGGCGACGGAGCACCCTTCTCAACCTGCCTCTCCTCGACCGGTACACGACGAAGGCGGCGTCGATGTGGGCGTCAACGCTGGTGGTGGTCAAGTCGGCAGCAGTGCGGGAGGCACGTCGAGGCAGCGATGTGTGATACACGCCGGTGAAGCAGGCGG